ATGTGACTCCCTTTTGTTGAGGATCTCATCGGCCTGCACTCAATGCTGCCTTAACCTTACTGCCCTCCTGGTGCAATGTGACCGTTACCCTACTGCTCGGTAGTCAGTAGTAATCTTCCATAAATCCACCGCCTCGTCCCTTTTCCTTCCTCACCCGACGGACTAGGAGTACTAGGACCACGAGATTTCCCCCAAGGTTAGCCCGTCCCGTCGGTCGCTATTTATAGTAGCGGCGAGGATTCCCGCACGGGTCCCCCCACTTTTTCTCTCACCAGCTGAGTGACGATCGAGAGCCTCGCTTGGGGAAGCAAGGAAGGAGAACGGCTGGCGGCTGGTGATTATATCTGCCTTGGTCGCCCTTGTTTCGGTTCAATACCGCTCGACGACTCCGATCGAGAGCAACGTCGTCAACTGCTGTGTGCGTGTGTGTGACCCTCGCAAGGAATTCTTTTCATATGTGTGTGTGTGTGCGTGGGTTTTTCTTTTTCTTTTTTTTTTCTTTCCTTCTTGTTAATTTTGTTTGGTTTTTGAATCACACGATGCGCGTCATTGTCGGGATTGACTTTGTCGTCACGAGTTTGTCTCGGCGAGTCTTTTGTGTATTATTATGTGGAGGTTTCTAAGTTGTGTGCATAGTGTTGCTGTTTTTCTTTCGTTTGACTGGGATTTATTTGCACTTTAAGTTTGACACCATTGCGTAGTGCTCTGGGGTTGTGTCGGAAATGTGTGAAATTGTTTTGGTTTTTCATCGTTCCTTGCAACGCTGCGGATCTTTGTGTGTGTGTTGTTGTTTTTTTTCCTGCTAGTTGGTTGAGTCTAGGCCCATAGCGTTCACTCGTGATAGTTTGTGGCGAGGGTAGGAGTGAGGGGGGTTAGTTGTTATGCCGAGGGATAGTAGATGTTGGGTTGAGGTGTAGATGTTAATCTTGGGGTGAGATAAGCTGAGGTCGAGACATATAGGCCTACCCTAGGATGAGGCTCTTGGTTGGGGTTTGATACTAGGCTGAGGGAAAGATGATAGGCTGGGGATTAGATGTTGGGTTAGATCTAGATCTACACGCCTAACGTCACTTATTGTGTCGATGTGTTTCTCTTCACTCCGCAGTCAAGCCACCGAAATGTGAAGATACGTCCTAAGTTGAACGCTAAATCCTCTGACACTACAACTGGAGAAATACTCAAAGATGTGTGATTTAGCCCCCATAAATGCCTAAATACAATGAAGCCAAATGTAATATAGGGGTTGGGGGGGGGGGGGAGTGTAGGGTTGAGAGGAAAGAAGACTTGGTTGAGTATTTGGGGCGTTGCTTTAATGAATGTCTCAGGTTTTGGGTGTCCCCGTTTTCGCCTTTGCGTGCTGTTGTCTCGATTTTGTGTGGGTGGTTGGGGGGCGCCACGGACAGGTTAGAACTACTTCTTTTCCTTCTGCTCCGTTGTTTCTGTCTGTCTGTCTTTCATGGGTTTTTTTCCTTCACTAAATGGCCGCCATTGTGTCAATATGCTTCTCGTTACTCAGACAAGCGGACTGGATTCTGTCTCCAAAATGTCCTAATTTTTCAGTTCGAAAATTGAGTTGGCTAGATTTTTGTGATAGTTCCTGTTTCTATGAGTTTTAAGACGTTTATGATGGTGGTGTCTTTTAATATTTGTGGTTATGTTTAAATGTAGAAAATGGAGAATGTGACGACTTCGAAGTATCAACAAATTCTACGTTGAACTTCTAACCAGTAACGTAAACTTACTGAGTCATCGGTGGGTACGTGGTATTCTATTTTTTTTCGTCAACAATTCTTCTCTGTTTTTGTCGGTCTATATCTGCTCTCTCTCTCTCTCTCTCTCTCTCTCTCTCTCT